AGACCACCTGTCCAAATAGAACAGGACACTCAACAAAACCACAATCAAGCTCAACAATGGATCCAAAATGCGGAACATAATATTTGGGAGAGACAAGAAGCTCTTTGGAGACATGCAGAGGAGAGAAGACCACCTTCACTGGTCTTACCACCAGCCATGCAACCTCCTCAGGTTCCAAGGCAGTGGGTTGAACACCCACAACATACTACTCCTCCTTCTCCTTTATCTCCCTTAACTCCACTTCTGGAATCTCCAAAAGGAATGCCAGATCAACAGGCAGAGATGCATCCTTTTGAATTTGCTCTTGCCACTTGGATCAAAGAATCACCAGAGCATTACAAAGATGTTTTAAAATTATCTCTGGATTTACAAAAGAAATGGTTTGACAATATGAAGGATGAATTAAAGTCTATTGAAGAAAGACAAGTATGGACTCTAGTGGATTTCCCCAGAGATTAGAAACCTGTAAAGTGTCGATGGATTTTTGCTATCAAAAGCAATGGTTGTTACAAAGTTCATCTTGTGGCTAAAGGCTTTACACAAGAATTCAGAACCAACTTTGAAGATACCTTCCCCCCAGTGGCTCACTTCAAAACCATGTGAATTCTACTTGCATTCACTGCCCAAAGAAATTGGGAAACCAAAGCCCTGGATGTCAAAACCACTTTCCTTTATGGAAATCTTGATGAAGAAATATATATGGAGCAACCAGAAGGTTTTCAAGTTAAGGGTCAAGAACACAAGGTGTATTGGCTGCTTAGAGCCCTTTACAGTGTCACACACCAAAGGTGTTTGGTGAGGTGGACATGGATGTAGCTGATGAATGGAGGTGAAGACCATAGCCCTCATGCGAAGAAGGACAGCCAGCAATGTTGGCAGTCATCCCTCACACAAGAACAAGTTGTCAATGCCAAAGAAAAAGGAGGAGGCAAGTTAAGCACCAATAAAATTCTTAAGCACCCATGTACGGCATTCCGGTTTTCAACGTATCTCCACCAGTTCTGCAGACACCGAAACCATTCCCACACTCGCTTGTAGTGCTCAGCCACACGATCCTACCTTCCAGGATTGGAAAGGATTTGCACACTCCACACATTTCTACAGCACTCCCTCCAAAAGACACTCATTTCACTAATTCTTCTGATATGGCTGCCTCCACATCAGTCATTTCACTTGTCCCCTTTGCTAGGGACCATGGCTACATATATCTACCAGGAGTTCCTACCAGCTTCCGTCCTGAAGCATCCTGGTACATCCCACCCTCATCTGCCCCCTCTCAGCCCATCCAGCTTGGACAGTGTGTTCTTTTTGTCAGTATGACCTCCAGGAGGACATTCTTTGGTCGCCTCAGGTCTGTCATTCGCTTGGAAAGGTCTTATGTGGTCGTTTCAGTCTCTCCAGTCCAAGAAGCATATGGATCCTTCCTCCCTGCCCCCTGCAACGTCTTCATACCAGTCTCATCCGTCATTCTTTCAAAATTGCGACAGCTACAGTATAATCTACTGTTCTCCACTCTCCCTGATCGCATCCATGATGAGTATGATGCACATCTTGCCTCCTTGTTGCAAGATACAGCAGAAGATGCTCCCCCTTCATCCTCTCTTCCAACAGAACCTCATTCATGAAGTTTTTATTTGCTTCACTGAGAGGATGGTTTGGGGGGGAAAGTTGCAATCCCCTATGCCCCTGTCACCCCACAGACCCCCAAAGCTTGACCCCTGTTGACATCTGACTCACCCTGTCCGCTTTTGGATGTACTGTATCAGCATCAGATCAGCACTGCCTCTCTGTCATCCCACTTTGGCCTAGAAGTGATCTCTTCGAGATGTGACATGCACAGCCTCCCCCTAATGTGATTCCAGTGCACTTTCCCAGTTCCTGACATTTCTTGACTCATACTGTGACATTCTGACAGTCTTTGACTCACCTATTGCCAATACTTACCAATCTTTTGACTTTGCTTACTGATTCTTCGCTTTTTGGCTTACTTATCCTTACCAATGCTTACCAATACTTTCCAAGATGATTACCCATCACTTACATTCCTTACTCATCAGTTACCAATCACTTACCAAGTGTTTGCACCTTGTTTTCCATAGGCAACACCCCTGTACTGTATATAAGTCACTGTACTTAGGTAGCAAAAAAAAAAAAGAAGACATCAGAGAGCCCCTCTTGCTCACAATTTATCATCTCTCAGTAAACCATTCATCAGCTTCGATAGTTGAGACTTTATTAAGGGTCTAGCTATCATCTACTTTGCTTATCATCATCTATCACCCATATACTTCACTCCAAGCCCTCCCTGAGCTCAGTACAGCTTAGGACATTGAATTAAGTCACCATCCATCCTTCTGTAGGCTGACAGCAGTCTACCCTATCACTTTCTATCACATTCTTGCTCCCTCTTCATCAGGAGCACCCCCAACCCTCAGCACTCATCTTTGAGTGTTGTAGCTCGCAAAAACCCTCCCAAAGAACAGGTTCTACCATCTAGGTACCACATAGGCACACCACCACTCGCTTTCATTGTCTTTTGTGTTGGTTTTGGTTGGTTTTCACCACTGAACCTCACTTTGACTCACAACAGCCTTAAGCAAGCAGCACTTGCATGGAATAAAGCCCTTCATGCTTCTCTACTTTGCATGGGCTACATACACTCAAAAGTGGACACTGGAATTTATATCTTTTCTTCAAAAGCTGGCATCATCATATTCCTCGTCTATGTCAACAATGGACTATTTCTAGGATCAGACAAACATCTTCTTAAAGACAAGAAAGAAGAATTTATGAAGAAATGGGAATCCTGAGACCTTGGAGAAGTAAAAGAATATCTTGGAATCCAAATTCACTGAGATTGCTCCAAGAGGGAGATCTATTTAGATCAGACTCCCTATATCAAAAAGGTTATCAAATGTTTTGGAATGGAGAATGCAAGAAATGTTTGCACTCCATTACCATCAGGATATCAACTGGAAAAGGCACCATCAGATTACCAAGCCACTTCCCAAATCCATTCTCAATATCAATCTATTATAGAGTCATTACTCTATATGGCTCTCAGAACTTGTCCTGATATCACTTTTGCAGTAATACACATGAGCCAGTATATGGCAAATCTCACAGAGGATCATTGAAATAAAGTGTTGCACATAGTTTGCTATGTTGCATCTACTCCAAAAATGGTGCTTTATTATTCAGGACTCAAGTCATGGATTTTTGGTTTTGCAGACTCTGATTGGGCATTGAATAAAGATACAAGACATTCAACAACCAGTTATGCCATGTTCCTTGGAACATCTCTCATTTCTTGGTGATCACATAAACAGAAGACAATCATGCTCTCCTCTACAGAAGCCAAGTGTATGGCACTCTGTGATGCTGCACATCAAATCAAATAGCTCCATATGCCATCTGATGAACTTAAACTTAAAACAGAAAAGACCATTCTATACTGCAACAATATGGGTGCTTGCTTTATCGCTGAGAACCCAGTTTCTGATGGACAGTCAAAACATATTGACATCCAGTGGCACTTCATTTGAGAATGTGTCCAAGATGGTTTGTTCAGTATTGAATACATTTAGACTGACAAACAAAAAGCAGATGGTCTTACTAAATCTTTGATGTGGCAAAAATTTGAAACTAATTGCTTGTCAATGGGACTTGTTAATCTCCCATTCTAGAGTGAGGGGGAGTGTTGGAAATATCTTAATAGTTCTGACTCTAGACTTACACATTTTGATACATGTGTGTGTCATGTGACATGCTTTATCATCCACTCCACTATGACATCATATAATATGTCATATTCCATAGCATTCTCTGCTATTCCATTCTCTATACGGTAGTTTTACTGTAGCTCCTTCCTTATACATTACTGGTCTGTGCATGCAGCTACATGTATATAAACTCAGGGATTTCTGCCTTACTCCCCATCAAACAATCTACTGTTCTTTCATCTAACAAGACAACAACAAGACTTCCTCAAATCTACCACTTCAACTAACTGATAAGGCAAGTGTTCTTGTCTTTGCTCTTTGCCCTGTCCTGTGCCTCTGTGCAATAATGGACAGTGGTGCACAGGTTGATGTCAGTGATGATGGCAGTTCATGCTGGGTCACTTACAACACCTCTCCATAGCATTGAACTTTACACCACCTAATGCCATCTCTAACAACAGCTTAGAAAGAACAAATGGATGATCCGCACTGCCTACTTCTCGTAGTTGCAATATATGCAAGCACTCCTGTTAGACTATGTCTTTCTCTAGCCATATACATAGCCTCCTGTAACATGACGCAGGGTTATCTCTCATGAAACTACTTAGTTATGTACTTCTCTACTTGTGTTTGTACTTGTAGCGTCCAGGAGCGCCTGGAGGGCTTTTGGTATGAACAAGTGTATTGTAATAGGTAAAGATCTACCCGAAGCAATCCGCCACACAAGAAGGCAAAGGAACAGGGAAGTAATAATCGAGAGCGACCTAACTACACACTCGGTTTCATATGAGTCGCTCTTCGAGTCGGATTGCTCCCCTTACCAGTCTAATTTCGCTTTTGATTCCAAGTATGCAAGTACGTATGATCATTAACAGCAAAGTCATAAATGAAAGTCGACACGTGTAAGATACCTCTATGTAATAGCAGTTCTTCATAGTACAGGCATACGACACAGGGATGAGATATTGACAACAACAAAAGTAACCAGTTCGAAATCGTGAGTGAAGGGTATGTGAAAGATGTGCATACATGCCACGCCTGCTGTGTTGTCACGGCGCATGTCCGGGGAGAGAGGGGGGGGGAGGGAAGAACAGAAGTGCTGGTGAGCAATTACGCTGTGGTGATGCTTCGTCCATGGTGGAGAGAAAGCCCGCTTGCCGCCAACCTATTCCTAGCAGGAAACAGGCAAGCTGGGTCGAAAGGTAGTCGAACGCACGGAAGAGCTGGGAGCGGGTCGCAGGGCCCCAAAGCAGGCAACCGAGATTGCACTTGCATAGGTCACGAAAGGTGCAAATTATGGAACATGTCATCAAGAGTCTTGAAAGCCACCGGTTTGACAAGACTGGAAAAGGATGTCAACAGGGTGCTTGCTACAATCAGTAGAGAAAGGCAGCATACTAGCCGTCCATGCCTGCCTCAAATGCTTTTCGTTTGTCTTCCAGGGAGGACATCCCAGTCAGAGCGAGGATGACGCACGAACGTTGTGCAGTTTGCGAGCGTTCAATCTGCCGGATCTCCACGGTGGCTCCGACTCCTGTTCAGGTTGAATCAATTATTAGTAGAAAGCAACGTAAAAAGCACCTTACCGTCCAGAACTGGCATCGATAAATCCAGAAGTACGACGCTGAAATGAAAGTGAGTAACAGATCGTAATATGAGGCTCTAATACTCACTCAAACGGACCCTCAGACTTGAAAACATCGACTCCTTGACGGCCATCCGTTGCTTCTCGGTAGTCAAAACCCTGCAATCAATGGAACTGTCAGTTCAACCATTCTTTCCAACCGCATCCATTTACGCACCTTCTTCGTCAGCCACTTGATTCTAAACAATCTCAGGTCAGTAGAAACGTATCAGAAGATGATAAAAAAAACATACAGCAAGTTGCGAAGAACGCTATTGTCCTCTACCACTAAGACTTTTTTCACCTGATGCGTTGAACCTCCAGTCGTGGGACTCGCTGATTGTTGGGGTATGGTCTCGTTGATGCCACATGTAACGGATGCGTTCATGTCATTCACCACATTTGAATCGATGTCCAGACTTTGAAACGCTGAATCCCTTTCTGAATCGACAGCGGTCGAACTACTCAACTCCGGGCTAGACATGGGTGGAGCGGGCGGCGAGCGGGGATTGGTGCTCCACACGTCCATGCTTCCTCGCCGACGCCTTTCAGACCCTGAGAAATCGTCCACAAGCATGGAGGAATGCAGCGAGACAGTATCCTCTTCTGTTGTGACCGCGCTACTGTGGCTGGCGATTCGTTGATGACGTCGGTGCCTGGCTCTAAGCAACTGCTTAAGAGCAGCTCGCAACCGGAAAGGCCCACCAGGCTTGTGCACGATTCGGCAGAAGCCTCCATTATTCTCATATGCATTGCATACGCCAATCACACGAGGACTACCCCGACTCGAGGACAAGATGATAAAGGATCGAGATGTCTCCATCTTCTCCAAAGCGGTGACAACCGGAGAAGGGTCCTCGTTGACGACAACAATGTCACCGAGCTCTTCGCCCTCGTGGCGCAAGGGGAATCCCCACCAACTTCGCAAATATTTGCAAACAACGTCGTGCAACAGCTGAGTGCCGCGACCGCGTCTCTTGAATCCAATAAGCGATAGGACTGGTGGTCTCTCGGGATCGTCGAACACAAAGGGCTCTTGTAGGTTGTTCAGTTCGTCCAAGGTCTCCGCCTCGAAGACAACTTTAATCTCCGTTCCCACACCCTCTTCACTGACGACCTCCACTTTGCCCGCTACACTTGGGGAGCGCACGATGCTGTGTACAATAGCGAGACCAAGTCCAGTCCCAGTCTGCAAGGGGTTCTCTTGAGAGAATGGGTGGAACAAGTGATTCTGCAGTGTTGTCAGGCCAAGAAAAACCATCTTTCGGTGTAAGCGCTCCTACCTTCAGGAAGTTCTGGCTAATTCCCTACGGTCCAAGAATAGGTAAAAACATGCGATAAGAGGTTTCAAGGCTGCCTCACCTTTCCCGTGTCACTCACGCAAAGCTCAATTTTCACCGTCCTGTTATTGGCATCTTCCGGAGGCGACGCTTGACGGAGGGAGACATGCACATAACCGCGCTACGAGACCTCAGTCAAGCAAGGAACTTGTCAACAACCATCGACGCACTGATGTGAATTTCAGGCTGTTCCCAAACAAGTTCATTAAAACTCGTCGTATGCCACCCTTGTCGCATTTCAATGTCCACCCCTGCGAAAGCGAGGTCAAATTCGAGTGAGATTACTTAAATCTGTACTTGCCCCTCTCCGACGGTCAATGTCCACCACTATCTCAACGTTCTGGGCTGATGAGGGAGCACTCATCACGCTGGAGGTTCGGTGATCTAGTGTCGGAGCGTAAACACTGCCGATTTCAGATTCTCGTAGTGCCGAAGCGCGTGCACAATAGCCAATCCATGATCCATCAATCGCCTCTTCCACGAGCTGTTCAAGATCAACTCTAAACCCCAGGCGAACGGTCAGAGGTGAAAGGGAACACAACTAGAATCAGCTACCTGCTACGTGTGATAACGTTGTCGACGCCTCCCGACTTTACATTGCCACTTAATTTTGTGAAATCAAGCACGTGGTTTACTGTTTCCACAAGGGATGTACCACAGGCGTGGACAGTGTGAAGAAACGATGTTTGGCCATGGTTCAATGGGGTATCGGCAAGAAGTTCAGCAGCAGCCAATATCTGTATTGCGTTAGCATGAAAATCCTTCCCATATGTCCCACTTACCCCATGAAGTGGTGTCCGTAACTCGTGAGAAATGCTGCAATTCCGGTGAGAAGTTAAAAATTACTATCGAAGGGGCGCGAGCTCACTTTGAGATGAACAGGCTCTTCGCCTGGTCCGCAAGCATCATTCTCCGTTTTAATACTGCAGATAAGATGATCACTCCTGCAAAATTGAATGAGGTACCGTTTTAAATAACGTATGGACACTTACCTATAGCACGTAGGTAAGATAGTTCGTGGCCTTCCAGCTGGTTAAAGCTATGAGTGACGGCCATTCAGACCAGGCTACTGACTTACGAAACGCCGTGAAGGATCAGATGCATTGTATGCGCATATAAGAGCAAACGGGCGTTTGTCAATATTAAAGACAGGGACAGCTCCGGGAAGGTTCAGATAAAATCTATTGAGATGGACCAGACACTCACTCAGAGCATATTGTATATGAGTCGGAATAAAGGGACGGAAGCAAACAGGCAGTATTCCTTCGGAAATCTTGCCATCGGGGTACTGCTTGAAGAACGCATTAAGCTTGCTTTGTTCATCAGCAGTGAGTGTCCGCGAGGACGCTCGTGTTTGCGAATTTCCGTGGTGCATGACTACTGACACGGTCGCTTCAGAATTGAGCGTCTCCAACACCTCACAATGTGAAACGTCCATGACCAGGACCTCCTCCACGTCCAAAGTACGTTTGACCAATTTAGCTGCGCGATCATATACTTTGTCCATCGACGGAGACGTGAAGATGTCTGGTTTTCGGGACTCCCCCTGGTCAATCTCCAGACATTCGCGGCTAAAATGTTCCATCTGCCAAAAAAAAAAAAAAAAAGCTTAGATACCCAATAAAATAAAGGTAGTTACTCACGGAGGTCTGTATTTTGTCTCTTATGCGAAGTTGGATCTTGTGCAATAGTAATCAGTAAACTCTCTTCCGGCAGAATATTTCGACCTACTTTGTCTCTCCAAAGCTCCATCTCACGCATTACAATCGCCTGTGAACGCAATAAGAACAACGAACACTGTAAATAACATACCTACCGCAAACTCCTTAAGGGTATGGCGTTGTCGGGGGGTGAAATCTGATCTAGGGGAGTCGTCCATAAGCGACAAACTACCCCGGGCAGCGATTCGATCTGCATCAGCGTAAAGAGTATGAACAAGCAAACTACCTGCCGATGTTATAACCGTCCTGCGTTCGCAGTGGAGCTCCTGCATAGAACCGCGCATATGGTGGCCCGATAACAAGGGGCTTACGGGATGTAAGCTGTATTTATTACATACTGCAAGCTTGACTCACATTCTTAGCAAATCGCCAATCCGTATGTGTATCCAGCACAATTGTGGGTTCGTCACACCTATTAATTGTCAGTAACTTACCACCTAAAGTGATAGTGATTTACCGTTGTAGCACAGCATGGGCACAGAATGACATAACGCGGGGGCATCGCTCCAACTGCGTACCACCTGACACAAAATGAAGTACTTAATTAGAAACCAAAACAGATGTAATTAACCCGTTGACACAGACATTGCGACTTGAACCATCTTCCGGGAAAGTGTCAATACTAGCACGATGATTATCAGATACTACATACTGCTCGGTACCGTCCAGAAGAGAAATCAGCACAATCTTGGTATTGAACACCAGCTTGACCAAGTGTGCAATCCGATCGAAGTTAATATCGGGGGCTGTATTCCATATGTTGAACCTAAGCCGACACTATGATTATTAGCAAAACGCAGATGGAACCGAGCGACGAACTTGTATAGAGCCCTCCGGCGCTCGAGTTCGTCCGGAGGATTCGGAGGAGCCAAGTAACCCAACTCTGCGAACATCTGCTCTTCCTTGGCCGCCCGTCCCAATGCGATAGCCAGATACTGTGTCAGACACAGAACGGCCTCCGGGAAGTAGTCTATCTCGAGCGATCGCTTCCGGCAGCGGAGAGGAAGTCTGTCGCGTGAGGCATACTCTACGAGGCAACGCGGGAACAGTCGTGACATTCAGATCACTAGGCTCAGAATCCCGGCGGAGAGTAACATAATCTTGCCATTGGCTCGGTACTTCTCCAGAAGGACCTCGGTGGTGCGTTTCTAAAGAATTAGGTGCGTGCGCTAGCCACAGTAAAGTAATCTTCATCCGAGTGACCCTCGGGAGAACGGCTGATAGGGGCAGTCGCCGGTTGTGGAAGGGACGACCACGGAGAATAGTCAGCTGAAGATGTACCTGGTGTAGCTTCGTCTGCCTCAGATCGGGAGGGTGAGTTCGAATTTGAACCGTGAATTGTGGACAGTCGTTCTACATCCTCACCAACATCCTGGGTACCTTCCCAGAAACTACCAAGGCGAGTCTTACGACCACCGCCTGGTGTAGACTGACTCATCGGTGTACTACACGCTGGTGGATGGGATCCAGGAATGGCAGCATGCACCCCCCGCATTGGATCAGTGAGTTCATGCTCTGGCGATGGCAAAGCCAACGGCGAAATGTTTACTCTCGCAGCAGCGACTCGCATCGTCGCAGCGGCAGTGGTAGCGTCCGGACTGAAGTTCTGAGCGCCATCGAGGGACAGCTGCATCAATTGACCGCCCGTGGAGTGTCTTATGTCATTCAGTGATTTACGAAAGCGGCGCCCCACTAGCGACGCCGCAGGTGGAGCGAGTTTCGAAACAAATTTGTCAGGTGTTGATGCAGGGTTGGCTTGCGAAATTTCATGACTGATGCTGTGAGAATCCTCCACACGTGCGGAATCAGCCACTGGGGAGGATACGATTGTGTACCCAGAGATGAGTGAATCTGAGGGCGATTGGGCAACGACGGGTGCTGCTGCTTTCAGTACCGAAGGTGAGGAGGTGGAGCTGTCTGCAACGGACGCCTGGACATTCATTACGCAGCGGTGCCTCGACAGCAGCACGAGGAGGATTTGGCGTCTTGTGTGGATTCCATTGGCCAGAAGCATAGGCTGACATGAAGGACACCCAGTCGTAGTCGGAGTTGTAAGAATCAACAGATCTGAAATCAGAACCACGCGGTAGTGCAGAGGTGCTGCTCTCGCAATTTGAGGTGGAATCTGGGTTTGTTTTGTTTTTTTGCGTCACGTTAGGGCACGGGGGAAATCAACGAGCCAGAAAGCAGGTACACAAATAAGCTTGCATACCGTTCGAATCATTTGAATGGCCACCGGATTCCGACGTTTCGGTATCGACGAAGCGTGTGCAGCCAGGAGGCTTAGACGAGGTCTGATGCGGTTGAAATGGGGCAAAAAGGTGTAAAATGGGGCACGTGCATACCTGTTGCATACCCGAAGAAGACGTGGCCGAAGCCGATGGATCCGGGAGGACAAAAGATGGAGTTCCTTCGACAATGGAGGCAGTGGCAGGCCTTGAAGGTATGCGAGCGCGTTCGCGGGATTGGGGTAGGCGCAGAACAGGCATCTGGAAGGTCGGATCCTGCAGAACGGGGAAAGAAGTCCGTAGAGCAGGGAAAGGAAGCTTAGAGCTCCCTGCGGTGTTCGACGTGGGTGTGTCTTCCATAGTGTTTCGTCTATACCTGCGGGGGTTAGGCCGTGCAAGTATCAACTCTGATCTGTGCTAGCGCGACGATCAAAAGTGCTCTCATCACCTGGGGTGGAGCCCGGTGTGTAAGCGTGACAAACGGCGCAAGTGCTGAATACAAAAGAGAGGGGACAAACCGAGTGCAGATGGCACTAGGAACGGGGGGGTTAGGAGGAGGATAAATCGACACCGCGTAGATTTGTAGGTGAGACTGAGTGGTTTGCTGTCACCTGTATTGCTCAGCCCCGGAGGCTGGACAGCGGTAATATTGGAGGGCCCATTAGGGGATGACTAATCACCCCACCCACACGCCCGCCCGCCCTCGACGTCATTCCGCGCTCGTGAAGCGCCGGCCGGCTCATGGGGCCCTGGGGTTCCAGAAATTCCAACTTGAAGGGGCACAAGCGAGGATGCATCATGTCTCCAGTAACCCTTGTCCATGCAATGACATCTCACTCATACGTCTACGACTACAAGCATACTCCACATGTACAATGGTAGCGTCAAGTTGTCGTTTTGGTCAGTCAACCCTTCCAACACCGACACCAACGTCACCACCGCAGCATATCGTAACATCTGCATCGATCGCCCATCATCAAATGAGATTCGTGGCAAGTCAAATAAAAAAATTTAAAATAAAAAAGCTCACCGAAAAATCTTCCACCAATCCAAAGAGACGGAGACACCACGCACACATAACCAGGGAAAACACGAACGCCATACTACCCTCCACCGTTTTGGGAGAACCCGCAAACCAGCGGTATCTCCCAATCCTTTTACCAACGATCGAAGCCATCGCATCGCCTACGCCCAACGCGAGGATGCCAGTATACTGATCAAGTTGAGATGGTCTGTGGGGAGCAGCTGACGATGGATTGAAATGGCCACACTTACACTCACCCTTCAAGCCAAACAGACCCTGCACAACCAGTGAGGAGATAGAAATGGCTTAAAATCGCCGTCCCACTATCCTTCTGATCCAAGAACTCGTTCATGAACAAATGGACAGCAGCTCCAAACGGATAGACGGCAAAGTATCGCACATATTCCGCAAATATGAACAGGGCAAAGGCTGCACTGAATGAAAGATGCGTGAACGCAGGCTATAGTTATGCTTTTAGGTAAGAGTGGATTCAGGGTTACAAGTAAAATTAAAATGACTGACGTCAACAGCCACACCTGGCAGAAACATTGCTACTGCCAGTCCATGGAAAAACTTGCGACGTGCGTTGACACCCAACGTTGGGACATGCTTGTCCGCGGCATCCAACAAATCAGTCGCTACCTGCGTGCCGTTTGGAAGCTGAGGGAAAGCGAGACCCAGCGCCCCAGAGGGACCACCTAGTGGCACGCCTTCGGCGCCCTTCTGACTCGACGTGGCACCAACCGGAACTGCTTGAGTCACATTCTCCCCTAAGTGTACGGAAGTATTCCGTGGCCAGTACTTCTTCCGAGATCTTGACAGTTGGCGATTCCAACCAGCAACACTGATGCTTCCTACGAGTGCCCAATACGCCAAGAGGAGCGGGCGAGTCCATTTCTTCTTGCCTTCCAGAATCCAGAAAATCGCCCAGAGCCATGGATCTCGCCTACCCAAGTTCCACCATGTCCACGATCCGATCAGCCCTGCAACGATAACAACTGTACCGAAGTAGAAGCCTGCAGCAAGTGCTCGCCTGTGCTTAGGCTTCTCCTGTGGAAACCGAAGACGACGCACAGGACGTTGGGCTATGTGGCGAGATAGGAAAAGAAGCGGTGATAGCAGGAATCCAGTGAGGAGAGATCCCCCTATGAGAGCAATCTGGAATATCAGAAGGGGCGTGGAAGACGGTATGTTTTGATGAAGGGCGTGGTCCTGGGCCAGATCTCCACTGCTGCTTAGTAAAAATAGGTAAAGCGCCGCATAAGAACTCACTTTGGTCCTGGTGAGACCGAGCAACTCCGTTCCGAGAGCCAGCCCCCCAAAGGCAACCAAGGCCAACTCGCCCAATGTGAAACCCCCATGAGCCATTCCGAAGCGCAACGTACAAGGTAAACTGATAGAAGACAGACCCTATGATGATCTCGGGGTAACTAATATCTGTTCGTTCGCGAAATATGAAACAGATCCGAGGAAATCAAGCAAGCAAAACAACCCACTGACTTTGCCAAATAGCGATGTGATGCTGTGTGAGGAAGAACCGCACAGCTAGGAGGATTAGCACAAATACAAGACCAAATGCTGAGTACAGCCAAGTGCGGCGCATCTCACTGCGAGGTACCGAACCCCGTTCTCCCTCGGGGACACTCCGGTGCCGGCGATAGCGTGCCTCGTACCATGAGGAGGCAAGGATTTGGACCACGAGGATGAACGAACAGAGTGCCGCGTAGTCAACTAGGCTCCGTCTTGACAAAATAAGAGCATCGAGTACCGAAAGAGACGATTGGCCTTTCGATAGCACACGAGGGGCTTCGATAAGCCATCCTCGAGGCAAAAGCCCAGATTCAGGGGATGCAGCTTTGCGTATGGCAGACAACAGAAGAGACACGGCGATGAGGGGAGGCAACAACAAGCCAGTCGAGGCACCATCGTCCGGGCATGGCCTGGACGAAAAACTAGGTCACAAAAATGGTCGAGAATAAGGTTCACAGTCCTCACCGGAAGTTCTTTGGCACGCTCATCCAGACAAATCCGGGATGTAGCTTCATTAATGGGATAGATATGCCGCTGTTCCGCTTTCCCTCCCGAGGTTCCGTCCGGGGCGACAATGGTCTACCGTCATCCTTTTTTGGTGAAACCGATGCGGAACCTTTCGACCTGGACAGGTGACGTATGCACCCACACGGTGTACACTATACAAATAAATATGTGCACGTCTATTTCTGAAGAAAAAGAAAAACTTGTCAGGATGTGTCTCACTCGACGCATAGCACTGCTTACCCAACAATAGAGAGCAATCTGACTTGTCTATAAGCTTGTGTGCGCGTGCTAATTGCTTACTTGCCAAAAATAAGGAACCGAGTAACACAAAAGACTCCGTCAATGCCTTAGTGTTTGCAGAAAATGTGAGCCTGGTGGCCAAGAAGGGTACGGCGAATTGTACAGTAATTGCAGCGGGAAAAAGATGATAGAAAGTTGCATGCACTTTGTGACGCAGGAAAGGTGCAGCACCGCCGCCGGGTTGGGTGTTTACCCCTTGGCTAGAGTTGCTCGCGCGCATGTGGGGTGAACGTGATCGAGTAAACGAGATCCGATGGGGTGAGGGGCCATTTTGCAACTGCTCGCCTGTGTAGTCCGCAGGAATAGGACTCGAGGCACGCAGAGGCGGGGACTGCTGACGCCTTTTTCTTCTAACGTTTTCCATGACGTCTTGTCGCGAAGACTTGAATGACCGACGGCGCCCTCGAACAAGAGGCAACTCGCGGTCAGTGTCGTCGCTCGAGTTATCCGTGTCAGAATCATTACTGTCCAAACGTGGTGAGAAACATCCATACCGTGCTAAAGCAAAACGACTCACCTAGATGATCCGGCGTGATAAGTGGAGCTCAAGTCTACATGGCTGACATTTCGCACTGTTGCAGACGCTTCGGATGAGCCTGGACGGCGTTTCAATGGCCGCACGCCCAACTGTCTCCTGGCAGGGTCTGCCCGCGCAGAAGTATTTACCGATGGTGGAGACGGCGAGGACGTTGAGCGAGACAGCTTGGCGGATTATCTGGACACGCAAGTTGGGTCTACAACAGCGCGTGTGTAGTTGGCCCAAATCATGTGCAGAGGCGCGTCGCCGCCCGTACCTTCTTAAAATGGAAAGTAACCCCGGTGTTCCTCCCCAACGCGGTCACGAGGACAAAATTACGAAGAGACGCGCTCCTGCTCGGGTTAACCAAGTAGAACCACGTACCACGTCGAGATGAGTGAGGAGAAGCGCGTAGTTTATCTCGAGGATGTCGAAAACACGACATCCACGAATGATAATACCATGCCCTCTGCATCACAGGAGTCGACGAAATCCGTCGCTTCAGCCTCGGCAGCACCGGGCAAGAGACAGCGGTCTTTGCTCGACATGTTTGCAGGTTCTCAAGGTTCGCGCTCTGACAAGGACACTGAACCTGCGGCGAAAAGGCAGAAGAAGGGGACCCTCAAGATCACTGCAAGCTCGACTTCTGGCATTCAACGCCTCAACTTCATTCCATTCTCTCTGGCCGAGTACCTGGAATCCATTCCAGAAGAGCATAGAGATCTTCTCAAACTAGAATGCGAATGTATGGGTAAAAGTTGGTACGAGTTGCCATAGTCGCTGACGGCGTTCCCTCGATCCCCACCTCCGTTGCTGATCAATTTCAAATTACAGGCTGAAGCTATTAAAGGACGAAATCAAGAAACCGTACTTTATAGCCCTGAAGAAGTTCCTTTGGGAAGCAGGAGTTCGTGGCCCGGATGACAGCGTGAAGGGTCTCAAGGTTTACCCATCTCGTGAGTACTTCTCGGACTCGGTCAATTACCTCCGAAAAAATGAGGATGAATGATGGAATTTACAGCCCGCAACATATACTCCTGGTCCAAAACGCCGCTTGGCAAGGTCAAAGTTGTTATCGTCGGACAGGATCCTTACCACGGTTCCAATCAAGCACACGGTGAGCCGTTCATGTCAACGCGCTGGTGCGTTGATCCGTGACTGACCAGGTGGGAACGATCACATCAATCACAGGGCTTTGCTTTTCTGTTCCAAAGGGCGTAAGCGTTCCGCCGTCTCTACGCAATGTAAGAGACCCCCGTCTTCCTTGCGATTGATTATCGAAGCTCAGCTCGGGGTTATCTCAGATATATGCAGAGATCAAATCTGAGTATCCTGAATTCCAACCTCCCACTCATGGGTGAGCCGATCTATTTATCACAATCACGCATCCGTCCATGTGATGCTAACCCATCCACGTTCCACGTCTAGAAACTTGTCAACCTGGGCAGAGAACGGGGTCCTCATGCTGAACACGTGCCTCACCGTCCAAGCCAATGAGGCAGGGTCTCACTCGGGGAAGGGCTGGGAACAATTCACGGACAAAGTCGTCGATGTCGTGGACAAGTACGGTGGTGCTAACCTGAGTTCGGGCGACGATGACTCCGACGTTCGCGGAATCGGACGAGGCGTGGTGTTTTTGGCGTGGGGTGCTTGGGCCGGGAAGCGTGTTGCCAAATTAAACAAGGCAAGGTCTTCTAACGTGACGAGTCTCGTGTGCGATTGACAGAAGGACCATTTAGACCAAACACCTGATACTGGCTAGCGCGGTGAGTGGTCGTTAGCCATCTTCCCATTTCTCCGTTCCCATATTGGTACCAGCACCCCTCCCCTTTCAGTGCCCACAAAGGCTTTCTGGGCAATGGGCATTTTAAAGCCGCCAACGATTGGCTCGAGAACAAGTACGGTCCAGAAGGCAAAGTGAATTGGTGCCAACTGGACTAGGCGTGACGACTGGACCCAGATAAGCTACACACATACCTTGCATGTTGATACCCTATACATATATACTTGTCGGCTATTGTATATACCATAGAACATGGAGTTAATGATCTTTAGCTGCTGTGTAGAGGGTCGTTTCGAAATGACCGCCGCCGACGCGTCTGTAGAGCGTCATCAGAGATTAGATCGGCGATCGCGGGTCTATCGCTGCCCAAAGCCATTATTGGATATTCGCCCAGATATCGACGACCATCGTCCAGATTAATATAATTGAGACTTGCAACCGGTTTTACTTGGCAACAGTGCCATTGGCTGCCATTCGACCTTCGCCGGGGATTATGTAAGCTCGCAGCGCTCGGACCAGTTCGGATTTCAAAGGTTGTTTCTGAAACAGGTCGCGTGCGACGACGCGGAGCCCTGCATGTGGCTGTACCGTGGCTATGCACTTTAATGATTCATTGAGTCGGCCCTTACAAGATTGTTATCGAAAAAGCCGAGATTAGCTGGCAAGCCTACGTGTACGAAGTACTGCCGCATGCGTATCTAGGATAAAACATTCCGCACCGAGGGAGAAAAAAAGAGTAACGTATCCGCGAGCGATAGCGATACAATGGTGTTGATCAGGTCGTTCGAGGTGATCGAGAGCACTGCAGATACTAGGAGGTCCGAGCCAGAGAAACAGCCTATATAAAATACCGACGAATACATATGAGGAAAGGATTGCATTGTGGTCAGAGTCAGGGCAGTGCGTTGACCTGTTTACCATGAGAAGCATAATGCGAGCGAACGTCGTGGAGGACAGGCGAAGGTGGGGACGTCAGTCGAGTTGCTGAATGATGGGGAGTGGGACTTGGGAGGTGAATGTCACCAGCATGTGTACGAAAGCTAGTCGGCTCGTTGAGCGGTCGACGCGGCTGGAATGATAGTGCAGGAGGTAATGACGGGCGGGGAGCGGTAGGCGATGTTTGTGAATGAACAGGAACCTGCTGTGATGCTGTAGGAAGGGCACTGTCGTTGGAAAAGGGGGAGGTATGATACTGGTATGAGTAGTGTGCGTTCTCCCGCACGTCGCACAGCAGATAATTCATGTCGTTGTAACCACTGGCTAATGGCCTGTCTGTGGTATGCTGGTAAGTCGACGGAACTGAGTTTCCGGCGACGTTGCTTGCGATGGGTGGGCGGGATGGTGGGGCGGAGAACGTGAATTGATGTGCCGTCTTTTGTTGGGGTAGTGTGGTGGACGGCATCGACCGCAGATTGTAGGCTACCGATGGCGTTGCCGATGAGATATGAGATGGATGATGAGTGGGCTGCTGGTCATTCATCATGAACCCATCGTTCCACTGGCTGCCCTCCATGACAGGAGGCGTACGCAGGTTGGTACCGATGAGAGAGGGCGACGTGGATTCTGAACGCTGCGGCGAAGGCGAGTCACCTATTGGCGAGGAATCCCTGCTCTTTGTGAGAGACTGAGACACGGGAACATTGTCGAGAGACTTTGGCTTGTCTTTACCGGTCGGACCTTTGCCGAGCGGAGGACGGTTTGCTGGGGGTAAGTTGAGAGCAGCCCTGAGACAGGTGTTCTCCTCCTCGAGTTCGTTAACGCGCAGCTCGAGAGCCTGAATGGGTTGAATAAAAGGGACAATTGGAAATACATGACAGAAGGAGGGATGATGATAAAAGGTGCCGTACCTGCAGATGTGCGGCTCTTCGAGCACGAAATGCTCGCTGTACGTCTCGCGCTCGGTTAGGAGGCAGATTGTCGTTTCGCTTGCGTCCACGCTTGGAAGACATGCTGGGACAACGACAGAAGCCTGTCAGTCTGGGCAGAGTGGTGTGAGGGAGCGGAGGACGACGAGCGCACCAGGGAAAACAAGTCTCAACATATAAAAGGGACACAACTCCCCCTCCGATGGAGACTCGGCTGAATTCTTTGTTTGTCCTCGGGGACAGTCCTCCAAATATGGCAACACCGATCGGGGTCACGCCCTGGGAAAGCCTGGGCCAGACCGCACACGCACATGATGGCGCCGATGCCGGTGTCTCGGCACACAACAAATTTATTATTATTATTATTATTATTCCATTGTCACGCTGCCTGTCACACACCTTCGATCGAGCGCTACTACCCTCTCTCCCCCAACGAGGCGCCGAGACCACGCGTCGGACGACGTTGGCCCGTCGTTGGGGCTGTGAGCACCCCCATCATTTCGTTATCACTGCTCCCCATCCCGGACATGCGTGGAGCTCCGTCGCAAGAACTGAATTCCGCATCCGTCGTTTGAGTTTGCTGGTGGCACATCTACTACCATCGTCACGATCCCTTTTAGGATACGGTCCTCGTGTCACAACACACCCTGTTTATTTGCTGGGTGTACTACCAGCCCAACAAAAGCATCCCAAGTCCCGGTGATCCTTTGCCATCACACATGTGGTTCAGACACATGACCCCACCTCGTTCAGCTCTTACTCCCCGGTGGTCGCTTTCGGATCAACTGACAGGCAATGGACGGTCGTATTAGCGTAAAACGTGTCATAGTACGATACCATCTACTACACAGATCTCTTACTGTGCTCGTCCCGCTGCCCTGGCTTCCTTCCTCGCAGCTGCCTTCTCCTTGTCACGCTTCGAGAACAATTTGTGGCGTTGCGGTGCATCCCGTGCAAGCTTCTTGTTTGCAGATTTATTCTGCTCCATATACGACATATGCTGGGCACCACTGAGCGCGGTAAGCGAGCCCGTCGTCCTTTGCACCGTCGGAAACTTCGCAGGGCCGAAATCTTTCGAGGTAATGGTCCCGGAGAGGTCCCCCTCGGACGCGCGGATATCCGACCCAAGCTCTGCCTCGCTCTCGTTCGCCAACAGCACGGACGATATTAGCTCTATCTGTTCGTCCTTGGTCTTGTACACGAGATCAGGTAGATCTTCCAGCCCATCGAGGTGCGTGATGACCTTGAACGAGTACCCCTGGTCGATGAGGAATTGCTGGCGCTTCGTACTGTAAAACATCTCCTGGGTGTCCTTCGACACCAACGAATAGAAGAACGCGTTAAATCCCTCGTCGTTACGGCGCTTTGCCCGCAAGATGCGACCTTCGTGGCATGATGAACTACGTTGCATTAAACTTCCATACCAACCGTTGCCACTCACCTAATCGTTGGGCCTCTTGTCGCCGCGACCCGAAGTGCGAACTGATTTGAATGAGGCAAGTGGCTTCTGGCAGATCTATTGACGTATCGCCAACCTATTGGACGGATCAGAAATGGAAAAATGCGACGTGGAGGCTGGAGTCACCTTGGAGAGGAAGATCGTGTTTACGTTCGAATCATGCTGGAACCACTGCAACACGCGCATCCGCTCAACCTGCCCAGTCCCTCCATGGATATACGGTTTTCTCAGTTTCTTTGCGTATGCCTGTTGACGTGTCAAAACGAAAAGAAGTAAGTCATTCTCAAAACAACATCATCACCTCCAGAGCGTAGACGTTGTCAGAAAAGACGATGATCTTGTCTCCTCGGGACTCATGATAGTTGATTAAAAACTGGCAGGCTTGGAACTTCTTTGGGTTCATGCAATACAGAAGCATCCGTTTGCGGGACTGTTCCCGAAGATACTCTCTGTAGAACTCAGGTGTCATCGGACACCATACCTCAGCACACTATCGCCGAACAAATCGGTGACTCCGGTCGGGAAGGGCATTATGTTACACTCACCTGCACGTTCGCGATGTGACCTTTGGCAGCGAGATCCATCCAATTTGCCTCGTAGAGTTTGGGTCCAATCATGTAGTTCAAATCCTCTATCTTCTGATCTTCCCTGACGAGTGTTGCTGAGATATAGTGCTTAAGCCAGTGCATCACCCAAAGACCAACGACAAATTTACCTGTCAAACCAAGTTTCGAATGCGCCTTAATGGTCGTGACCACTCGTCGGAACATTGCTGCAGGCACGACATGGACCTCGTCCAGCAAGATGAACCCCCATTCGCGCGAGGTAAGGAATTCCATCATCTTCTTGGACTCGTGCGACCGATTGTGGGTATTTGCAACCATGGAATACGTAGAAATGACAATGCCACTCTCACCGGCAAACTTCGAGAAAAGATATTCATATCAACTCGTTGCACGATCCAAAGATCAACACACGTACCCTCTCCTTCTGGTCGGCCGTGAAGACAGCAATTTGGCGGTCGGTTACATTGGACCACTGCATGAATTGCTGCCTCCATTGCATAACGGACACACTGCCGAGGAAGGATTAGTGCCAAGCTTAGCATGAGTACTGTCGTAATACTCACGATGACGTACAAAGAACGAGGCAGGATTTCTTGATTGTGCATGCCGCAGTGATTCCCACCAATGTTTTCCCCGCCCCACACGGAAGAACAATAATCCCGGAACGAGCACGACTGTGCATCATGAGACTCGAACATGGAATGTGACAAGACCACGGAACTAACCCGTTTCCAAACATCTTGCTCAGACTCGTCTCCTGATATGGTCTGATGACCGTGGCTGGTTTCAGGTCGATATCCAAGTTCGGGTTAATGGTATCGTTCCGGAAGTCGTATTCTTCCAACATGGGATATTCGAGTTCGTTGCACCGCTTTTTGACGTCCTTTAATTACCGACGTAGTTTATATTAGACTTTAAGTGTCTGATAAGCTAAAGACGCACATCGATTTTGGCATCGTCAATTTCGAAAGCATGGACATTCTCGTCATCTTCGTCAATTTCATCTGCGGACCATTTCGGTCAAGAATAACAAATGACAGACGCGGCAGAGCACTTACCGCCCTCCACCCCAACTATCGAGGTAAAGAGATCACCATCCCTTGAGCCTGCCGCCGCCGGTGGAACTCCGGGTCGACCAGCTGTAGCCTCATCCCTCTTCTTCTCAGCTTCCCGTGTGCCAGGTATAACCAGATTGCCCTTAATGGGTGCCTTAGCGGTCGCGAAGCCCTTCATAGCGTCGTCCGTGGCGACTCGAGCGTCGCGAATCGTTTTGTCTTTGAGGAGAAACTGAAGGGTCTCAGGATAGGTGCTTTCTATGTAATACTTGTTATGTTTGAGCACAAGCTTCACTTTCCCATACGAGTGCGTTCGTTCGCGGATCAAGCTTGTGATGCTCTCCGGGACAGGCACCTTACATCGCCATCGGTATGGTTGGACCACCACCACCTGTCACTGGTGCTTACCTTGGACAGCCGGTTCAGCACTTCTATGATATCTTCCGTTTGCAATCCCCACAGAAACCGCAGCGTACAGCGAGTAGGGTGTAAGTTTATACTCGTGTATGAAGGCCGGTCTACAGACTTCAGCAACAATTCGCGACGTTACAGCATACCCTTGCGTACCTGCTAACAGGTTCACTGATAGCTACAAGGAAATCCTGGGCTTGCTCAGCAATGGGCGAAAAGGCCTCAAGAATAATGTGGCAATCTTCTGGGCTGATCCAGAGTGGTCGTGAAGCGTGATCAGGTTTCAGATGCAACCACGAAAAATCATGTTGCATGAAGATATGGGAGACAAGGCTATCTTGCTGACGACGGTGTGCATCTAACATGCTTCCCTCTCCATCCGCCGCTGCACTGGTGTTCCTCGCTCGACGCGCCTCCGCAAGTTTGCGAGTGAGAGCGCTGAAATTGATAGTCGTTCCACGCGGAACGAGGGAAGAGGACTCGGCGCCCGAGTCACTAACGTACTCCTCTACATCCATGTATTCATCGACGTCGCCAGACCATTTCTGGCGCTTCGAAGTGGACGCTGTGGCCATCGAACCTAGATGGCTTGTTAAAGAACCAGCTCCAAACTAGACGAGTCAGTTCTCATGCAAATTACCTTCAGCGGGTCTCTTAGAAGCCATCTAGACAGTGATAAAGAATGTGTCTGCTCCCAAAAACGTGTCCCCCGTCGCCCAGGAAGTGTCCCGAAATGATGACTGTTTGAGAGCAAACGACGATGGCTGGGCTGGTGAGCAGCCACGTTGACTAATCAGGCGATGTGTCAGCATGTCCAATTTGGGCGGAGTCTGTATATCAAGGGTGGGTCGGCATCGGAGATTTATTTCTGCTCTTTCATTCCACCTTCACACACTTTTTCTTGACGATCAACAATGTGGAGACCCGCAACCCGCGAAGTCACCGGAACTAACGAGGGTACGTATTTTCCAATCTCTACACGGGGATTTCGACTGATAAATGTCTTTCAGTGCCTCTCGGAACAAGACGTCGTTTTGGTCCTGCACCAGTGGAAGAATCTGCGCCTCCCCAACTCGCTCAACCTTCCCCTTCTGCATACCCTCGTTACCAACATCAGGAACAAGATACACGAAAGTCGCGAGAGGAAACGCCGAATGGCTCTGTAGGTAAGCCTTGAGACCTCTTACTAACGACGCTCCAAGTGTTGTATGTTTCCTTGCCGTATGGTGGGACTTTCCGATCGCCTACTCTTATAGCAAGGCTTACTCTAAATTGCACACTTGCACATTTTTAAAAAACTGACGCTAACTGATACTAACCTTGATAAACCATAATTTCTTTTCCTTACAGCGGATGCAAATGGGAATCGCAAGCGACGCAGTCGTTGGGGTGAAACTAAAACAGAAATCCCCGGTTTGCCGACCGCCATCTGTGCTGCCGGCGTCTCTCAGGCCCAGCTTGACAACTACGCCATTCATTTGCGTCTAGAAGAGATTAACAGAAAACTCAGGCTGAACGACTTCATCCCTCCGGAAAGGGAGCGGTACGTGACTAGTCCTCGCCTGCGGTGCGTGCTGTATTGACTTACGTCATCGACAGGTCGCCTTCCCCTCCACCCACCTATGATGCTCACGGCCGTCGTACTAATACCCGGGAGGTTCGCTATCGCAAGAAGCTGGAAGACGAGCGCATACGCCTTGTCGATCGTGCGCTCAAGAATGATCCTAATTTCCGCCCTCCCGTCGAGTATCATCAACAAAAGCGCTCCCAGCGTCCGTCAGAGAAAGTTTACATTCCTGTGAAGGAGTTTCCCGAGATCAACTTCTTCGGTCTTCTGGTGGGTCCTCGTGGAAATTCGCTGAAGAAAATGGAACGGGATAGCGGTGCCAAGATAAGCATTCGTGGCAAAGGAAGTGTGAAAGAGGGCAAGGCGCGCCCAGAACAGTTTGCGGAAGATGCTGAAGAAGATCTGCACTGTCTTGTCACCGCTGACTCTGAAGACAAGGTTACAGCGTGCGTCAGAATGATCAACAGAGTTATTGAAACGGTAAGTTCCAGCTTCCATGCCATATTGTAACAATTCTAATCTCTCCTCCAGGCCGCGTCAACCCCTGAGGGCCAGAATGATCACAAACGTAATCAGCTTCGCGAACTCGCAGCTTTGAACGGTACCCTTCGTGATGATGAGAACCAGATTTGTCAGAACTGCGGCGGCCTTGGTCATCGCAAATACGATTGTCCAGAGCAACGTAATTTCACAGCTAACATCATTTGTCGCGTTTGTGGGAGTGCTGGTCACATGGCTCGTGACTGTCAGGTCAACAAGGATCCAAACGCCCCTCCAGCTCCCCCCGTGAACAAGAGCGGCTTCGACTCAGAGTACGCTGATTTAATGGCCGAGCTTGGCGAAGGAGCGAAGGGACCAGGAGATAGCGGCAAAGGCTCGTGGAACGCTTCCTCAGCTGGCCATGATATCACAGCAGGTGGTTCCAACGTACCTCCGTGGCGTCGTCCGGAGGCCTGGATTTCCAACAACCCGCCACCCAACCCCGGATATCGTCCCCCCCAGGCATACGGCAGTTACCCCGGAGGGCAGGCGACGTATGGTTCTCAGTGGAGCGGACAGGGTTATCCTCAAGCCAGCTACGGACAAGCTGACTACTCCGCCCAGTATGCTCAGTATTACCAACAGCAGTACGCTCAGCAGATCGGCACACCCACTCACTAAGCACTTCGAACCGCACGGTAAAGACACATTTGACAGCTCCGCGTTTAACATGCCTAGGATTTCACTTCAACCGGTTTCTCTCCTTATTCCTCACAGCATTTCCGTCTGGCGCCGGTATTTACGAGAGGCGCAGTGTCTACTGACAGCTGATCTCCGAAGTTCTGCAGGGACTGTGTAGGAAAGGTTTTCTTTTTCTTGTTTTACTTGTCATCGACTTCGACGTAGCTTTGTCGTTATTATGAATTCCCCTCCTCGATCAACTTGATTCTAATTGACGAGCATCTCAGTACGGAATTGGCCAACTCTCTTCGACCAGGCTAATTCCCAGTTGACCGATCTTTCCTACGCTTCTTGCGTTGTTTGGAATCGGGTGCTGTATTACCTGGCTTCCTCTTAATCGTCTTCACTTCCTCGGTACATTGCGTGATCTGAGTCTTAACGAAGCAAGATACGAAAAAGCCATTAGTGGCATCTTCACCTGGTGAGCAGCGAATAAGAGACTCCGCATTATCTGCGAAAGCGCCACGTAAGTCCTGGGCAGACTATTTACATAATCGATGTGCGGACCTTGACAATCCATGTCTTCTCGCTTGCCACGGCGATGCCAGGTTGGCAAAGTCTGGGCACGAGGAGCAAGCTTAAACCCAGCTTGGACAGCTTCTTCAGAATTTAATGCCTGGTTAACAACTTGCTCGTTCTCTATAGCATGGATGCTGCATGTCGAGTACGCGATCTTCTGAACAGCGGGAACTGGGATGTGCTAAATACCATAATATATTGCAGTGAGGGGAGGGGGGTGAGAGAGCGCCTTACACTTCATCGCGTGTTTTATCATCATCAGCTGGAAGCTGGCGAGCTTGTTGAGTCGATTCTCGAGTCCTTCCGTATCGTCATCCTCTTCGGGCGGGATATATATAAAAGGAACATAGTAATCAAATATAAGTGCTAACCTGCTTCGAGTAGATGATCTAGTCGATTCACGATGCCAGAACCACTGCATGAGGGATCCAACAGACTTGCGGGAAAAAAATTAGAACAGAACGGGTTGTAGGTTGTCACGACGGAGACATACATGTGTGTTACCCTGTTATACTTTGGATCTGTTGGATTGACCGTAAGGAAGTCAACGTTGACAGCATCCACGTTTTTACATCCAGCTTTACTTAGCATCGCCTTCAGTGTGCGATACCGTTTTTGGTCCCTTTCGAATGCGTAGAGCTAGATGAAAGTTGAACTTCTTTACAGAAAAACAAAGTAAATCTGTCCACCTTGCCCTTGTTAGCCATGAGAGCACTCAGATGCGACGTCTTATTCCCCGGAGCTGCAGTCGCATCGATGACGACGGTGTCATCCTTAGCAGGAGGAGCTAGGACAGTGGCAGGAAAGCAGGATGCTTTGTCTTGCAAGATGACCTTTCCCGTTGTGTAACATATGTCGTCGTGGAACTGACACTGGGGATGAAACACTAGGAGATCGAGGATGTGCTCGTCTCTGGCAAAAGCTTTGCTGCAGGGACAACGTCACAAAAGAGTAAGCGGAGTATAGGGACACTACGAACTCTGATGAAAACGGATCCCCTAATTTGAATCCCTCTTCCTGGTAATGTCGGATCGCCTCTTCCGTAGTCCATAAGCACGTATTTATTCGAGCGTAACGAGGTATTCTTGCTGGGGAGCATGGTCTTAAACTTCGTTCGCTGCTTGCACCCACGTGATGTAATCCTACATACCTGCTCGTTCGTCTCCGTTGTTGGCTAGCTCCTGGTCAGATTTTACGCCTCGCTTTATCTTTATGCGCTGTAGCTCGCTCCGGAGTCGTGTCTTATGCCGCAATATGGCTTGTTTGATGGGACCATCCCCAGCCTGTATCCCGCGAGACAGCAGTAAATCATGCACAAGCACGAGGGTAAGGTTGAGGTTCAGGGATTTAATTTTCCTCTCTTCCAACAATATCCTGGACGCATTGATCACGTCGGTGAGGGCTGCCTTGTCTGATAAGCGGAGCGACGTATCATTCGATATTTCCATGCTCCACAAGCCGTCAGCTGTGACTTACACTTTAAGGTTTCGATGACCAATGCAGCCGTCCGTGCCCTGCCGCTCTCTGGCAGGCTGGCGAGGACACCTTTGATGGAGCCCTGCTTGGAGTCGAGACGATCCAGGATATTTGCAGCTTGGAAGTAAAAATCCATTGCATGGGATGCTAATTACCAACTACAAGCAACATCAGTTGTTGCAACAAGAAACAAAACGGACAACGAAGACGAAAAACAGTGGGGTTGCGACCTGGACAGTGAGTTAGCGCGCAGTCTCACTACACACATCATGAAAAGTGAAGGTAAGTCAGTTTTTTTTTTTTTTTCGTCACTTCCATGTCCGTAGATCAGACCATGTCGGACAATGTAGATAATTTAAAACATCCTTCGGAAACAACGAAAGTAATATGCGACTCACCCAACTGCTGTGCGTCAAAATGAGAGGAAAAGTAAGTCGAAACCGAAGCTGTTCTTGACGTGACTCCAAGCGTTTTCAAACTCCGAAGGACTTCCGTGCCGAGAAGCGCGTCCTCGTATAAACAACGCGCGACTGACGTGTGGTCGTTGCGATCCTTCTTCCCTGCCATTCTTGCCTCAGTAAGTGACCATTTGGCTACATTATTGCGATCCGTGAAGCAAATGGTCTTAGTGCCTGTCGAAACCGAATTGTATGATGTTTTAGGTGTGCCACCAAGTGCCTCCGAGAGTATGTTCTCTGAGTGCTCCGGGATCTGGCCGTTCTCATCTTCCATGCGTTAGATGACATTAAAAAAGCCTACCGAAAAAAGGTGCGTTGTACTCTATCTCTGAGCCAATCCAGCGTCTAACGGTCTTATTACTAGGCCAAAGAACACCACCCCGTGAGTGTTTCTCACCGACGTTCGTACGCATCTGAACCCTCTTCCTTTCTCCATAGGACAAGGTCAGCATCGTCCCAAAGTTTCATCCACTCCCCTGAATTTCGACATAGAATCCCAACGACCCCAGAGCGGCGCAAAAGTTCCAGGAGATGGCTGCAGCGTTTGTGCAGTGTTTTACCCCCCTTCGCTTGTCACTGATTTGTGGGAATAAAGTTATGAAATACTAAGCGATCCGAATACGAGAGAAGTTTACGACAGGGAAGGCATGGATGGTCTGACTGGCGGCAGGGGTGGCGGCATGCCTGCAGACCCCGCGGAAATCTTTGCCCAGTTCTTTGGCAATGCAAATTTCTTCGATTTTACCGCAGGAGCTCCACGCAAACACAAAGGTGAAAACACCGAAGTACCCTATGATGTCACCCTGGAGGATCTATACAATGGAAAATCGGTCAAGATCAACATGGAAAAGGAGGTCATATGTACCACTTGCAATGGGTATGTATATCGAATCTGGTCATCTATTTCGCATTGATAGCTATGTATAGATCCGGAGCACGAGGAAATGCTAAGCCGAAGGAGTGCAGTCGTTGTGAAAGTAAAGGCTGGATCTTCACTCAGACACAGGTATGGTCCGAATCTGCTACTGTTATTTAATCGGGGAACAAACGGGTTCATCCTAGATTGCACCATCTCAGTACGGTACTATGCGTACGAAATGTCCAGATTGCGATGGCAAGGGCAGTAAGCTTCGCGAAAAGGACCGGTAAGCGATTATGGTTCTCCTCCATGCTGCTGTTCTCACGTTATGAAAAGCTGTAAGAAATGCAAGGGAGAAAGGACCATAAAGGAGAAGACCCGTCAAGAAATATTTGTCGAAAAAGGGATGCCCGATGGCTATCGCATTGTCCTTACTGGCGCCGGTGATCAAGAGGTGGGGTTGTTTCACGACATTAGCGATGAATGCTTAGGTTTCTAGCCCGGTATACCCCCTGGAGATGTGATATTCAAAATCAAAACTGCCCAACATCCCACCTTCGAACGCTCTGGTAGTGATTTGCTCACCAACGTGAAGATCACGCTGTCGGAAGCCCTTCTTGGTTTTTCGCGAATACTACTGACTCATCTTGATGGTCGTGGTATTCGCGTCTCAAGTCCTCCTGGGAAGGTGGTTAATCCTGGGCAAAGTATTAAGTTGCGCGGCGAAGGCATGCCTGCCTTCAAGAATCCCGACCAGAAGGGCGACCTTTACATCGTCCTCGAAGTTGAGATGCCAGATGCTGAATGGATACGGAACGTTGACACCGCGGTACGTATGAGTAGCGAGTGAAGGATTAGAATCAATGCTGATGCTTTGCAGGCCTTGGCGAAACTACTTCCACCTAAGAAAGCACAGATAGACCCTGCACCTGAAATTATTGATGAAGCCCCTTTCGAAGAGGCTGACCTAGAAGATGTGCGTGCACGGTGTTTCCCGGCTAGCTCAGACTTCTTTGATCAAGCCTTTGCACCGCAGTTTGGGGATGGTGATGAGGATGACTGGGAAGATGATGATGACGACGATGACGACTATGATGGCCACGGGATGGGTGCCGAACCTGAGTGCAGACCACAATAATCGGTCTGAGCTGTCAGCCACGCCCATCTCATGTTACTCTCGACTTATGTATAATGTGCTTGCCCACCTCTGTCATTTCCGGCTTACATACACTTTGTATACAGTTCATCTAATAGTGATTTCGCATCAACCTACACCTCGGTTGGCGGATTTCCGACTCTGCCCTCCTTGTTGAATGCGCGAGTGGTTTTGGAAGCTAACACCCATGTAATGCCGCCGAGGACATGCCCCAAGAAGAGTTCGTCCTGTTGGGCATCAATTCGTGGACAAGCAAGTCTGTCACACGGCCACGTACGCTCCAAATCTCGATGGTATGACCAAGACCAGAGTACCAACTGCGACCAGCAACGCACCCCTGCTGGACACCGGCGCCACATTCCTGGTACCAGGCTTCGCAAAGTCCCGTGTATGACTAGCATCAGGACACATGGAGTAATAGCTTACCAATGGGGCGAGGCATTCCGTGATCGAACCTTCTTTGGCCTGGATCTGTACCATTCGTTGGCCAACGACTGACTACCAGCTAACCCGCGGCTTACCAGAGTAACTCGATTCATCCGCGGTAAGCAGGACTTGAGCGCCGACCGCCCGAGGATCGGACTGGAAGTTATACCTTGGTCTCGTAAGCCTGCGCTACTCACTTTCGCTGATAGTCCACTTACATTTCATCTAGGGGTCTCCATCTAGCTGGCAGTCCCGCCGTACTCGGGTGCGTATTATTCACTACTTCAACGACCTACCCAGGGGACATGGTATCATGGGGATTCCTAGAAGAGATAGGTCGTGCATCTGACCGACTCCTGGAGAGGAGGGTGGTAGTCGAAGTAGGCCCCTATATTGGAGTGTGGTCTGGTGTGTGAAGCATCACTTGGTAAGGGCGCACAGTTACCTACCGATTTGATTTCCAAAGAAGGGAGTGCCACGAAGTGCGTCTGCTGCACAATGAATGCCGACGAAGTTCCCGCTGAGATTCAAGTAATTCTGTAATGCTGCTTTTCCGGTATCGTCGAGCACTGACCACAGGTATGTCCCCCGTCCTACTCTGTGAATGAGCGAGTCCGCTTACCTATACCTGAGTTATTCAGGAAAACGACCGCGTCGTACTTGGCTAGATGTCGCCAGTAAATAGACTGTTATCTTCGGTGAAGTCGAAGTCGAGGTCGACAGACGTCGGGCCACGAGCCAGTGAACTTATTGGCCTAAGTTGCATCTTCCTTGCGGCACGTACCCCTCGCCACACCTCAGTCAAGGCCTGATAGTGCATCGTTATCACCACATATATTAAACGTGGCCCGTGATGTCACTCATGACAATGGTAACCCCTTTGTTCGTGATGAAAAGGGGAATAATTCTGTCCACAGGGCTATCCACCCCAGTCGATCAGTGGCACGAGCTAAGATAAAAGCCCCCACCGGAGTCATATGCACACAACACACAACACCCCTTAAGACTTTAGGGACACAGGCATAAGGAGCGCTAACTTGCTGGGGCTCCTTGCTTCTGACTGTCATTAATTCCCTACGAAATGCCCGTAACAGATGTGCAACGCTTACATGACAAGTGGCCCCTGCGTTTTGCGTAAGGTTTTACTTGATTTTGTTGCCTGTGTTTGAAACTAACAAGATTTACCTGACTTATCAGCCGTGGTGCAGCGCTATTTTCGAACGGTATTACTTGCTTATCTACTCATCCTCAGAGGTGCGCTGACTTTGGGTAGGCTACTCTAACGGAGTGATTGGAGCAGGTACGTGTATCCCACCCCAATCTCCTACTCAAGTCTGATTCCGCTATCGCAGTTATCACTTGTATGTATATCTATGGACTGAGATATCCACAAGGCACTAATCAATCCCTACCATCAGTATTGACTCGTGAACATCCCGGAGGTCAATTTGGGACACAATTTCACAGCAAGTTGTTAGCTAGTATGGTATATCCTGGTAATTCAAACCCCATGTATCTGTTCCTTGGCCCGCATCATAAGCAGACTAACCCCCCTCCCCTCGAAGGGACTGTATTCGGTATGCTTCTCTGTGGATGGCTGCTAAGTACTGTCGGGATGAGCATAGTGCGTTGCTTGTGTGTTGAACCTCATTTGTATGTCTGAGTGTTGTGCACAGGTGGTGCTACCTGTGGTCGTCATCCTCTGTTCTGTATTGACTGCTCTCGTGGCGATTTGGAATGGTGGAAGGGTCGGTGGACTTGTCGCCGGGGTTTCTTTTTTGCGGTGAGCATGCAACACCCTTCGTCAGTGCAATTGCCAATTGTGTGCGAAGTTGTGTGCTCGGCATGGGAGTAGGTGCAGGACAGTCTTCTGGTTGTGTTTTCCCTTCAGAATGGACGGAACAAGATGGCGTTGTCAAAAATGTACGACATCGGTGGTTAGTACTTGGTACCAGTAAGTGATGCCCATGACCGACCAGTCAATGTCCGTGCTAACTCTCCAAAGAAACCATGATTGATGCTGGTTTTGTACTTGCTGCCTTTGTCCCACTTGTCCTGTACTGGAGGTAAGCCTGGCTTGCATGGTATCATAATGGTCTCTCTTATCACACTTAGATTTGGTGAGCAGCACCTCCGTACGATCTACAGTCTCTCGCTTGGTTTGGGTGCCATCCCTGCATCCGTTCTCGTGTGCGAGTTCATAGTCTGGTGCTGGTGGATTACACCCAAATATGACAATTACAGCCTACCAAAAGCTGTGCATATCCCTATCTGGCTCACCTTGAAGTGGTACTGGAAGAGTGTCCTTGGATTGTCATTGGCATGGTAGGTGGTCATGTCAACTTCTGGGAGGTGGTTTGACATTCAAATGGTGTGGCAACACAAGGTTCATTTATGATTTCATCATGTATGTGCATTTTAATGGCTCATGGGGGCCACCACACTGATGCAGGATTTTCAGGTACCCAGTAAGATGGCTCTCTTTTGTGAATGCATCTAGGCTCTGATTGGCCATAGTTTGGCATATACTCTTCTATGATTATAAACAAGTAAGCTTGTATAGCATGACATGCATAGGGAGTTGGGGCTCACTGGAATGCAGTATCACAGGAGGCAACTCATCCTTGTCAATTGTGTTGGGGTGGTCTGTTGTCATCAAGTAAGCTCATTTGTTTTTACTCCTGCATGCAGGGTATTGTTTTAACTTGTGGCAGTTTGTTCTGTATTCCAGGTGCCTTATCTAGCCTTTTTGGTTCTCTGTGAACTGAACCTGTTGCAGGAACTGTGTTTGGCATATTCCTCATTGATTGCCTAGGTGTGAAGACAACAATGGTATGTAGTGCACACTGCCAGGCCCATGATGTAGTACACTCAGTACTCCTGTGTCACCAGATTATTGGACTGCTCTTGCAAGCCATTGTTGGGTTTGCCATGGCCATAATGTACAGCCAACTCACTAATCATATTGCCACATTTGCAGTAAGCCCATTGAATCTGAACTCATGGGTGTACCTTTCAAGCATTGTACAGCTTGTCTATGGAATATTCTTAAGTCTTGGTGAAGTTGGTAAGCCAGAAGAGTCAAATGGCATGGTTGACAGGTCTGTTTATGTGCTCCCATGAAATAGGTCCTGGAAGTTGTCTCCGTATTCTGGCAGCAAAAACTGGACCTGTGGTTCGTGTTGGTGGACAAATCTACAACATTGCAGCTATGATTGGCCAAGTAGGAGCTTTCATTGGAACATGGGGTATGTACCACACAAAGGTTGCTTCAGTCTGCCTCTTGAGACTGATATTGAATGTAGTCCTCCCACATATCATTGATGGTGGGTGTTGATGGAGTCAATGTAAGGCATAATTCCTCATGTGGCAGGGTGTGTCTATCTAGCCTTTGGTGGTTCACAAACCATGAAGGGGAATTCTGGTCCATTCTGGATTGGTGGTGGTCTTGCCATTCTCAATGCAGTTGTGACATTTTCCCTGGTGAAGCCTCTTACACATGACAATATGAAAGCAGAAGACAAAGCTGTATGTTCTGTCTGTTGCCCTTTGCTTCTTTGGGCATGAACTGACACCCCTCCAAGTTCTGCCAGTACTTGGAAGTGCATGGAGTTGATGCAAGCCATATACATGATGGAATTTGATGTGTATTGAATAAGATGGACAAGTAGCAATTGCACAAGAATGAACACAATAGTACTACTTACTATAATAAGTTCTCAGAGTACAAGAACAAAACACATGTAGAGTAGTGGTGTACCACAACTCTTTGATAGTTCTCTTTTTACTACATGCTTAGTGAACATGCTATTTGCATGACTCACCCCATGTGATCTTGCTTTGTCCCTGATATAGCACTTAAGTAACAAGATGAGGTCATACATACATGTCAATAATGACTGGCTGGAAGCCAGCATCTCCAGAGGAAATGTGAACTCCACGAACAAAAGACTTTGGTCTGATTGGTTGGTCCGCTGCAGACCCTGACAGTCTCATTGGGTTGCTTGTCCACAAGGCTAGATCGATCTTCTGTCGCGAACTGATTTGCCGCCATGGCTCGGCCATTGAACACTGATGTCCCATACATGCAGTCACTGTGAGCTTCACATATTTGTCCAAAACAATGAATCAACATTGCAGGTGTTGCATGTATGTACATCTTTCACGTACACTTCACCCACGATGTCCGAGTGTCATTGCTTACTTTTGTGGTCAGTATTTCATCCCTATGTTGTATGCCTGCACTTACTATGAAGACTTGCTATTACAAAGGTATCTTATGCAGTCAGTATCTCCCGAGTTAGCAATATATACGGATTCAGATGCACCGAAGGATACCACTGAGCAGTCCAAAAAAACAATCTGGCAACCACAAGTTAGAATGACACACTGAGAAGCATGGGAAGACTTCTCACAGGAAGGGTTAATGCCACTTATTAGTTCTTGCTGGGGGTTTTCGCAGTGGCAGGCCCCTTCGAGGCTAATGGTTCCGTCGCTGACTGGAAACCTTCCTGCAGTACGGACCACTGCTCAGTGGCGACGTCACCACTGAATCTCTTCCTCCGTCTGCACATACGTCCAGTACCCTCATCCTCTTCGTCCTGTGTACGCACAGCAGAGCCTCCACACAAACGTTCCGTAGCGTTCCAAAGAATGTGATTCGTAGTGTTTTGGGTGAGGATGATGTGCGGACGTGGATAGATAGTCCAGTATGTGAATTTTGATCCGTCAGCACGCATCACTTGCTGCGGGAAGTGGGGGACAACAGGTGTGGGTAGTGATCGCGGATGTTGCTTGTGTATGTGGGACCCCACCATAGGCTGACGTCGAGTGCGCACGAACGAGGAGTGCAGCATTTGGAAGGAATACGCAGAATCAGAGATGTAACAGGCCCCTTGTTTCTCTGTCAGACCATTTCCTTGCTGTTCACCGGGATCTTGAGCTTTTTGTAAGTCGGCAGGAGTCCAGTAGAAAGTTGCCAACATCTTTAGTCACTGTTATCCGGTCCACACTACCAATCCCCATGGTTGATGACGCCCGTCTGTATAGTCAAACACTGAACGTGGTCCGAAATCACTACCATGTCTGTGCCGTCCCCCCTGGGTTCGTCAATGGCACTGGGCTGCCCGTCTACGGCAGCAGATTCCTGTGGGCTGCCCCGCGTCCGCACTGGGGCTCCTATTTGAACATCGTCCATGCATGCATGTCGCACCATGCAGGAAGTGCAATGATGCACGGCCAGAGGTATGTCCCACTGCTTCTCCCTCAGTGTGGATGCATTCCGCAGAAAGCACATCACCACCGATACGTAATCGTTGTGTAGTTGTTCGCGCAACAGTTAGGAAATTGGGCTTTTGTGTGAGGGAAAGATCACCAAACGCCAGTGGATCGATTGGGCTTAATAGCGATCGTCATCCGGGACAGTAGTGTATTTTTATTGTCTATTGCCCTTTTGTCTTCGATGCGAGAGCCGACAATATCGAGTACCTCAAGAGTCCTAGTCAGCGACAGCATTTTTGGCTCTTACTCAGGCAGAATGGTTGTGCTGACTTCGATGTTGAGTGAGCAGTGATCTGGAAGGAAAGAAAACGATTGCATGTTTGTGCGTCACGTGATGAAGATAGTGTCGATGGAGGCTGGAAGGTGAAGAAATGAGTCCCAGCTGTACTTGCAATGCAAGGGGTTGACAACGCGCTGTTGCAGGCTGAAGTTATCGATTCAGCAACCGTCGTTCCCATATTACAAACTGGAGAAGAAGAACGAACAGGGTTAAGCTAAAGGACAAGGAAGCAACTGTTGCACTTGGGAATATGCGAATTGTTTGCAGGTCAGGGACTTAACCGTTGCCTTTGGCATGACCATAGCTGATGGCTACATTGCAGTACAAACAGCCTTTATTCCTTTCATAATCCACCAGAACTTTGGCACATCTCCGCTGTGTGGGACATTAAGCTATCCACGGGATGTGTGTCTCTGCACCAACGGGGAGCGTTAAAACTTTGGCCTACGTACTCCCTGTCATCGAGGTCATTGCACTTGTAAACGCCAGTCTCCATGTAACCCTGATGCCAGCAGTACATAGGCGCTGCCAAGCCGAATCATCACCCACCTCCGTGCTCTTGTTGTACTTCCTACTCGCGATCTGGTCACTCAGGTCAAGGAGACATTCGAAGCTGTTGGTAAGGGATGTGGCCTAAAGGTACGCATCGCTGTAACATCCGTACAAGTGCGGTGCTCCTAACGAAAATTAGATAGGAACCGTGACGGGTCAACGTTCATTTAGTCGCGAACAAGCCCAGCTCATTGAAAACATCTCGATTTCGTAGGCATTCCGCGGTGTTGTTGTGTCATGATCTGAATCGTCTGCAGGATGAGGGGTGGTTCGAGCAAGCTAGACATCTTGATATGCACTCCCGGTCGACTCATGGATCATCTTAACGGGACACCCAATTTTGCCCTCCAACATCTACGAATTCCTGGTGAGAAACTGAGGCAACTCAAAGAGAATTTTTCTGAAAGAGCATTTTCCTCAGGTGATCGACGAGGCGGATCGCTTACTGGCGCATTCCTTCCAGGATTGGTTAGTTCAGGTATTGGCAGCCTGCGGACCGCGACGGCGATCCGGTGACAAGTTACCCACAACTTCGCCATTAAATAACTTGAACTTTCTACCAATCTGCGACTCGCTGTCTCTAGCATTGCTGCAGATATATGTTGATCATCATACAGACGTAGACAAATTCAAAGAGACTTCGTGCCAAAAACTGCTTTTTTCTGCGACACTCACTCAGGACCCTGGCAGACTTGCCTCACTTGACCCACGGAATCCCAAGTATTTCATCATTCAGAGTCGAGCAGAAGGGGGAGACAAGTCTGCTGCTTTGGACGTTATCTTCGAAAAGTTTGCTATACCTGCTACATTATCAGTGAGTGGAGTCGTGTACGACGCAGTATGTACAGTGCTGATCCGCATCACACCACAGGAACACATGGTCATTTGCGACCTGTATTTAAAGCCCCTTATACTTCTCCACTTCTTCTACGATCTCTCGATCCACGGTGTGCTGGTATTCACCAAGTCGTCCGAATCGGCCTCACGTCTGGTTTAACGCCCAGGAACTTCATATGTAGGTCTTTTTAAAAGAAATTTCTGAGGGGGCTTTACTCGCTTTTCTCGTTAGATTAGTGTGCTCGGATTTGATATCGCGGGGTGCCGACATCAGCCACGTCTCGCATGTAGTTAGCTATGACGCACCCGTCGACATGCGAAAGTATGTTCACTGAGTGGGTCGCACTGTTCACGCCGGGAGGACTGGTGATGCATAGGCACTTGTCGAAGAACAGGAGGTGTTATGATGTTTATGTAATTTGAAGGCAGAAGCTAATCATTCCTTCCTAGGCACGTTACTTCAAGGGAATGGTGCGCGGACACTCCCATCTGGAGAGGGTAAAACAAAGAAAAATTCCTCAAAAGGAGACGGAAGGGCTTTCTCCAACATATCAGGTTCGCAGATCGTTATTTGTTGCTGTCATATGTTGGGGTGATTGACCTTCTTTCTAGATCGCACTTCAAAAGCTGAAGGAGGCGTATGCCCGCTGACTTAGTAATCTCCAGGTACCAAGTAGTCCAACTTGTTTCTGGGTTGCAACGGTCGACATGACTTAGTTGGATTCGACTTGGACAGTGTATCAGATCAAGCGTAAGTCGATCGACGAGGACTTTCTGCCACCCATGTAGTACATTCGCAAGTCTAACACGAGTTACAAGAATTACACATTCACATTCGATTCTGACACAACATCATAAAAGAATATGGGACATGGAAGGACATCGAAGAGGTACGTAGATGAGCAATGCACCTTGATCGTCCATGTCCGATAGACTCAAGAGAACTTCTTTCTTTTCTTTTTTATCTTCGTGCGAGAGAATACTTTCAGAATTCAAGTTGATGGGATGAACCTTTAAAAATTAAAGAATCCTTCCTTAGATACACCGGTGGTTCACCGTAGAATATCAGCGCACATTTTTCCTTTAGTCACGAACTGGCAAGTTATACACAGTTTCACCCAATTGACGGGTCGTGTTGATGGCATCGTCGACGTCACCGTCGTTGGGCAGCACGTACCAGTCACCGATTAGATTCCCTCCATATCCTTTCAAAGACTTGTCGAACTGGGTCTTGTAGTCTTTGCTGGTGAAAGGAGGCATGTGGCGACGGCCATTGTCATTGATACTGTAGTAGGCGACGAGGTAGGGGTCGACTGACACGCTAGAGAAGGGGAGGAATGTTAGACCCCTAAACAGAAAATTCGTTGAAAGATGCGCTCCTGCTCCTACATGATGGTTGTGGTAGTGGCCAGGTGAACTGAAGGTAAACGAGCAAGAGTGGAGCTGCTCCTATATGTTAGCCGTGGTCCATTCAACACTAATTAGTATCATCACATTCGACTAACCGTTTCGAAAGTCAAGCATATCGGAACTTATAGCGCTGCACCGAAGCAGTAAAGTGTGATTTCATCTTCGAGAGTCGAAAATATGGAGGCTCACTTAAGCCATTGCGCCAGAGCGGCCTAAATGACTTCATTTTCGAGAGTCGAGAATACAGAAGTATGTGGCATTGTGCTAGGGCGGTCAAGTATGACTTCATCTTCGAGAGTCGAGAACACAGAAGTTTATGGTGTTATACTGGGGCTATCAAGTTGTGGTTTCATCTTTTGAGAGCGGAGATACTCACTTGGCACATTGCCAAAATACATTGCACTCAAAGATTCGAATGTACCGCAATTAACATGCAGCTGGAGCATTGCGTGGGGCGGTCAGGTGTGATTTCATCTTCGAGAGTCCAAAATACAGAAGTATAGTTATGATACACTGCTAAAATACGTCCGGCTCGAATTCGAAAGCACCGGATATGCAAACTGAAAAAATGCATCATGGAGAGCGGTCAGGTGCCATGTCATTTTTGAGAGTTGAGACTAAAAATGAAAATGTATGGCAGTTTTCCAATACCCATCTAGGGCGTTAGACGCATGATGAACAAACGAACAACACTTCCCAATGGGGGACCATCCCTCATTACGCGCAACGTGATGAAACGGGACGCATCTCGCCCCTCTCTTTAGCCCGTTTCGCATAAAGCTCGTGATCTTGAGCCTCAACAAACGTTTCACCATGTGCGACCCCTAGCACGTCCCAGGCAAGCGTAATAGCAACAGAACGTGGCAGAAAGGAGAGGATATAAGTCGTGATGAAGAGCAAGGAGGGGACGGGACGAGTCCAGACCTGATGGAATGATATGAAAAAGTTGTATTAGCGAAATGGTCACCGCCCGCTTACTGGGAAGTATGAGGGAGGAAGGTAGGGAGGCGAAAGGGGCATGTTAGTGTTCATTGTGTAAGCCTGCGTATTAGTTTACCCCTACGCGTCAGGCATTCAGCACTCGGCACTGGAAGTGTGTTCAGAGTGCATTGTAGCACTCAAAGTAGGGATCCACACTACATGTGATGCGTCATAGGTAATGGAGGATGGAGGAGAACAAGGAAAACTCACCACTGCTCTTAACGCCGGAGGTGGGTAGTTTGGGAGGAGTTGTGGGAAGTACAAACCAGCCCTGGGAAACGAGGACTCCGAGACCAGGACCTCCGGCTTGGGCAACGTATGGGACATATCCTTCCCTTGACGGGTGGTTATTACTGATGAGAGAGAGGATTGGGAGAAGTCTGAATGCCTATCAAGCCGCATTTTCAGTGGGAACTGACATGAGGAACTCACCATCCGGCACAAGCATAACCACACCCGCCACCTCCTGCACCAGTCAACTTTGTGGCAAGCCCATATGTCCTAGTTACATCTCGCACGTCCTCCAGGCTGGGATGTGAGACACCAAGATCGACCAAGTGTGCATGATTTTCGTCGATGAGACCCTAAATGAACCCGTTAGTAGCACTCATGAAGGTAATTGCCGAAACACGGTCTCACGGCAAGCACCGCAGTTCCATCCCCCTTCTCGCCAAGGGTACGCCTGGCACACCCAACAACTTCCCTAATTTGCTCGAGGATTCCACTCACTCCGTTAGGACCCTTGGCCAGACGCTCAGCAACACCAGCGACAAGTGAGCGTGTATTCCGAGGGGCACGTGTGTCTCTTAGCAAGAATCGTAAAGCTTTGAATCCATCAATAGCTTCTAGTCCTCTGCCTTGACCCTTTGTGTATTGAAGGCTGCCACCAAATACCGCGACCGAGTTATCCACGCTGCTTGGTGTCCCATGCAGGATCTTTTCCAAAAGGAACGTGTATCTGTTTGTGCACCACGCAAGGGTATCTGGAAGCTAGGAAGTTGGCACAGAAGAGCACGATGACAGGGGGGGGGGTACTGGGAAAGGCTGGCAAGGATTGCGAAGGGACACGGATACGTCCGAATACTAACAAGAGAGATGTAGAAGTGCAAACAGAAAAGGATGCTGAGGACCCAAGCTCAGCGCCTACAGAAAGTGTGGCTCGGGCTGTGAGAGTAAGTGCAGGCCTGCCATATAGATGATTAGCAATCATGGACTTCTACATTAAGCCCAGCCCAACCGACTCGGAGCCATGTTCAAAGAAAAAGTGCACACCTTTGACCTGAGTGGGCCACAAGAACCATATACAAATACAAAAATTCCAGGCTTGCCTGGCATGCATGTGCGTTCGATATGTCAGCAAGAACTTGGGATGTTATTGTGTCAAGAAATTGGTGATTTAATGCAACCTCTCCCTCTCCTTGTGAAGATTCTGCGACCACTGTTAATCGAAATGTCATATAACGATCCTGACTTACAAGAAGGAATGGCATCCCAGGGTAATTCTGACAAGTCCCATTCATATTTGAAGCCATCAGGCTGACCGATGTCAATATCAAGGAAGTGAACGCCAAGGGTATCGTCTGCTCTCAGGGTACAAATAGCATAACACTGCAGGGACAACGAGGCTACTAGGGCAGGCTGAAAAAAGGACAGTGATCTCTACAGGAGCTGAAAAGCATAAATGCGGGAACTTATGACTCCATAAACAACTGCATGTTCTCCGAACAGGATAACCCTGCCAGGGACAGATACTACCTACTGCTTCACATGCAGCGGAATCTCGTCCTTCGCTGCCTCCTTTTCTGCCAGTTTCTGGACAGCCTCTCTGATGGACGTCTGTACACGCTCAAGGCCGGTAGCTGTTCTTCGGATAGCTCCTGCGTCGATCAGGGCACGTTTTAGGTCGTCGAGGAGATCTGCTAAGTCTTCAATGCCAACGCAAAGGTGGATTAAATCTTCTGGAAGCCCCCGTGCAGCACGAATAGCAGTGGTATAGAGGCGTGCCTAGGATTCAAAGCTGAGTTAACAGAAAGGAATCACGAAGCCAACCCGGACTCACAACATAGCGCAGGGCATGCTAATGAGGGAATTCACACACCCGAAACTGATGCTGACAGACCACAATCCGGTTGCAGCAACGACGCGCTTGCTGACATCTTTGCTTCCAGTTGCAAAGCTGAGGACAGTGCCGTAACCATTGGAGATGCGTTCATGTATTTCTCTGTTGGGATGATCAGGTAGACCGGGATAAAATGTGGGGAAGCCGAGTAAATGGAGCTAGCGAGCGACGAGCATGGAAGTGGAAGATTGCTGGTTTAAACGAATGGCTAGTGTTTTTTGGATCCACGCAGGAGAAGGAAGGAGTCAAAAGGTGTGAGTCCATTGCCAGTAGCGTTAATAATAAACGCTATTTGCTGAGGGGATACACGTCCAGCAAATTAACCATGCTGGGGAATAAAACTTACTTTTGCAACGTCATCCCTGTTACAGGTAATGATACCAGCCATGAGATCGTGGTGACCGCTGAGATACTCTGTTGCGCTGTCGTACATAATGTCTGCGCCATGTTCGAATGGCCTTTGTGGAAATGGACTCATCATTGTATTATCTACCACCACAAGTGTGGCCGGAACCTGTTCCTTCACCTCCTTTGTGATGGTCGCAATATCTACAATCTTGAGAAGAGGGTTAGTAGGTGATTCGAGGAGAACCATTGTGATATTGCTCTCCGTTTTCGGTAGTGGAATAGGGGTATCAGGCTTAGTGGTGTCGGCGTGATGCATGGTGATAAGTGACATGTGACCATGGAACCAACTTGTTGAATATGAGACACTTGGTTCATTTCTCTCTTCTCTTGTTTCTTCATCCTGTATGCTCTTTTTTTTACAAATCTATGGACCATTATATATTGAAACTACAAGCACGGTCATAGCGCGAGTGCTTGTACTGTTAATTATACATATGAAACATTTGGAGACAATAAACCAAAAATTACTGCGCTGTATTGTCAGTGCTCGAAACAACGAAGTATAGTGGTCTTGTAGACCCGTAAATGGGAAGTGTTTCCCATGGTAAGGAAAAGTAGCATCAATTAGTGAACAAAGGCTACGAGCGACTTGCCAAATCTAACACTCCCCCTCAAGTCGGGCATAGGCCGAGTTCAACTGCGAAATGTTTCACCTTTGGAGACGGTAGTGCCTTTGTTAGTGTATCGGTGATCATGTCTGCAGTCGGGCAATATATGAGGCAAATTTTGCCATTTTCTATGACCCAGCGAATGAAGTGAAAATGGATATCGATGTGTTTGGTGCATGCGTGATACTGATGGTCTTTAGTGAGCATGATGGCTGATTGATTATCGGAAAACAACGTGGTCGGCTCAACAAATGGCTGAAAAAGCTCTCTGATGAGCGACTGAAGCCACAAGGCCTCCTTGGCCATGTGTGTGGCTGCCACATACTCGCTCTCAGTCGTTGAGAGCGAGACAATTTCCTGTCTTTTAGAAGACCACAACACTGCTCTGCCATCTATTAGAAAAGCATACCCTGAGACTGCTCTGCAGTCTTCCACCATACTGCCATCTGCATCTGCATACCCAGTTAATGCACTTGGTGATCTCCCATACGTGAATTGCAAGTCCTTCATCCTGAGAAGGTATCGATAAATTCTCTTTACAGCTTCCCAATGAGCGATTCCAGGGTTGCCTGAGAAATGTGAGACAGTTGTTATGGCATATGAGATGTCAGGATGAGTGGCAAGGGAGGCGTACATGAGCGATCCTACAGCTTCTTGATAGGGTACGTGGCACATCATAGCAAATTCAGCACCAGTTGATGGTGACTGCCCAGAATGCAGTCTGGTGCTGGGTTCCATCGGGTTCGACATGGGCTTGAGCTTGTCGAAGCAGAAGCGTCATATGATGGACTCGATGTAGGGGCATTGGCACAGGGAGATGGTACGTTCATCTCTATTTCTGGTAACTTCAATGCCCAGCAGCCAGTGAAGTTCCCCAAGGTCGGTAATCTCAATGTATTTCCTGACGCTGTGCTTAAGCTCCTCTATCTCATTTAGGGACATTGTGGTGATGGTGCAATCATCAACATGGACGACAACGATGACAAGCTCACCAGTGGTGCATCGTCTGAAATAGATGGCCTGGTTGACCGAGCACTGGGTAAGGCCCAGCTCATCGACAAGGATCTCCACTAATCTTTGGTACCAGCGATGGCTGCTCTGCTTCAAACCATACAATGTCTTTCAGAGGTGACAGACTTTATTGGGGTGATCGGTGGATTCAAAGCCTGGGGGCTGTTGCATGTGGATTACTTCATCATTGGTAAGTGTACTGTTCAGGTATGCGCCTTTGATATCAATCTGATGGAGTTCCAGGTTTGATCGCACTGCCATGGCAAGGACAGTTCAAATGGACGCAAGCATTGCGACTGGGGCGAAGGTATCGAAATAATCGATGCCTTTGACTTGAGAGAAGCCTTGAGCGATGAGTCAGGCTTTGTACCATACCACATTTCCAGCAGCGTCTTTCTTCACATGGAACACCCATTTGGATCCAACTATGTTGGCACCACGAGGTGCATCAATGAGTTCCCAAGCACCTGCTGTGTGTAATGTTGCTAACTCTTCTCTTATCCCAGCCTCCCACTGCAGCCAATCTGGCTGACGACGAGCCTCAGCCAGTGAGGTAGGCTCAAGGGCTTCAGACTCAGTGGTGACTTCATTCATGGCCATAGCGAGGTCAATATTGCAAAGGGCGTCGTCAGGATCATCTATGATGGATGCGAGCAAAGCTGTGGCTCTGTCCTCCCCCTCAAGTCTGGTGGGGTCAGCTTCGTCTTCAACTGTAGTGGGGAGCTGGACTCCTTTTGGTATATTAGGTATACTGCAACTGTTTGTACTGCCTTTACTGGCGAGGATATCAGCAAGTCGTTGGCTAGGCTTTTGAATTCGTTTCATGATGGGTGGTTCAGCTGGAGGTGATGGGGGCGCAGGATGAGCTGGGGCGATGTGTGGAGGCATTGGAATTTCTTTTGTCTTTGGGACAGGAGCTGGAGGTGTTAGCATTGTGTTCGGTAAGCACATGATTCAGTCACTTGTAAGCCTAAAAGTGGGTCATCTGATGTGAGTCAAAGTGTGATTCAGTGGTGAAAACCAACCAAAACCAACACAAAAGACAACAAAAGCGAGTGGTGGTGTGCCTATGCAGTACCTAGATGGTAGAACCTGTTTTTTTTGGGAGGGTTTCTGCAAGCTACAACACTCAAAGATGAGTGCTGAGGGTTGGGGGTGCTCCTGACAAAGAGGGAGCAAGACTGTGATAGAAAGTGATAGAGTAGACTGCTGTCAGCCTACAGAAGGATGGATGGTGACTTAATTCGATGTCCTGAGCTGTACTGAGCTCAGGGAGGGCTTGGAGCAAAGTATATGGATGATAGATGATAATAAGTGAAGTAGATGATAGCTAGACCCTTAATAAAGTCTCAACTATCGAAGCTGATGAATGATTTACTGAGAGATGATAAATTGCAAGCAAGAGGGGCTCTCTGATGTCTTTTTTTGCTACCTAAGTACAGTGACTTATATACAGTACAGGGGCATTGCCTATGGAAAACAAGGTGTAAACACTTGGTAAGCAATTGGTAACTGATGAGTAAGGAATGTAAGCGATGGGTAATCATCTTGGAAAGCATTGGTAAGCATTGGTAAGGATAAGTAAGCCAAAAAGCGAAGAATCAGTAAGCAAAGTCAAAAGATTGGTAAGTATTTGCAATAGGTGAGTCAAAGACAGTCAGAATGTCACAGTATGAGTCAAGTAATGTCAGGAACTGGGAAAGTGCACTGGAATCACATCAGGGGGAGGCTGTGCATGTCACATCTTGAAGAGATCACTTCTAGGCCAAAGTGGGATGACAGAGAGGCAGCACTGATCTGATGCCGATATAGTACATCCAAAAGTGGACAGGGTGAGTCAGATGTCAACAGGGGTCAAGCCTTGGGGGTCTGTGGGGTGACAGGAGCATAGGGGATTGCAACTTTCCCCCCCAAACCATCCTCTCAGTGAAGCAAATAAAAACTTCATGAATGAGGCTCTGTTGGAAGAGAGGATGAAGGGGGAGCGTCTTCTGCTGTATCTTGCAACAAGGAGGCAAGATGTGCATCATACTTGTCATGGATGCAATCAGGGAGAGTGGAGAACAGTAGATTATACTGTAGCTGTCACAATTTTGGAAGAATGATGGACGAGACTGGTATGAAGACGTTGCAGGGGGCAGGGAGGAAGGATCCATATGCTTCTTGGACTGGAGAGACTGAAACGACCACATAAGACCTTTCCAAGCAAATGACAGACCTGAGGTGACCAAAGAATGTCCTCCTGGAGGTCATACTGACAAAAAGAACATGCTGTCCAAGCTGGATGGGCTGAGAGGGGGCAGATGAGGGTGGGATGTACCAGGATGCTTCAGGACGGAAGCTGGTAGGAACTCCTGGTAGATATATGTAGCCATGGTCCCTAGCAAAGGGGACAAGTGAAATGACTGATGTGGAGGCAGCCATATCAGAAGAATTAGCAAAATGAGCATCTTTTGGAGGGAGTGCTGTAGAAATGTGTGGAGTGCACAAATCCTTTCCAATCTTGGAAGGTAGGATTGCGTGGCTGGGCACTACAAGCGAGTGTGGGAATGGTTTCGGTGTCTGCAGAATTGGTGGAGATACATCGAAAACTGGAATGCCATACACGGGCGCTTAAGAACTTTATTGGTGCTTAACTTGCCTCCTCCCTTTTCTTTGGCATTGACAACCTGTTCTTGTGCAAGGGATGACTGCCGACATTGCTGGCTGTCCTTCTTCACATGAGGGATATGGTCTTCACCTCCATTCATCAGCTACATCCATGTCCACCTCACCAAACACCTTTGGTGTGTGACACCGATGTGTACATTTTGTCCTGAAACTGGGACTAACTGACATTGGCCGGTGGTCCCTAGGGGTGGGTAGGCCGGACTGTGAAGGTGGGGTTGGCCGACCTGGCTGGAGGGCAGACCCACTGCCTGAAAGTGGGGTCGGCTGACCTGGCTGGAGGGTGGACCCACTGCCTGAAAGTGGGGTCGGCTGACCTGGCTGGAGGGTGGACCCCCTGCCTGAAAGTGGGGTTGGCCAACCTGGCTGGAGGGCAGACCCACCTCCTGGAAGTGGGGTCGGCTGACCTGGCTGGAGGGCAGACCCACCTCCTGGAAGTGGGGTCTGACATGATGTTGTCATGACATCATTGTGGCTGTGTACCCCATGCCATCACTTTCCCACCATCAAAGTGGAGTTTGAATTTCTCATTGATGTGACTGTGTTTATTATGTACACAGCTGTATTCAGCCCAACAAATGGCCCCTGATGGTATTAAATATCAATATGCTTACCTAATTAGATGTAGCGGAGTTTCAATCTGATTCTGTCATGACATCATTGTGGCTGTGTACCCCTTACCATCACTATCCCACCCTCGAAGTGGAGTTTGAATTTCTCATTGATGTGGCTGTGTTTATTATGTACACAGCTGTATTCAGCCCAACAAATGGCCCCTGATGGTATTAATATCAGTATGCTTATGTAATCACTTGGGGCAGAGTTTCAATCTAATTTTGTCATGACATCATTGTGGCTGTGTACCCCTTACCATCACTATCCCACCCTCAAAGCAGAGTTTGAATTTCTCATTGATGTGGCTGTGTTGACATATGCACAGCTGTATTCAGCTTCACAATGGCCCCTGATG